AGTATGAAAAGTGGAATCATTAAATGATTAAGTTGTGGATATGACTTGATTAATTAATATGTAATTAATGATGTGAATGGTTCCTACTCTAGGTGTGCCTAAAAAATCTTGCACTTGAGGATTGTGTTGGAGCATACGTATTATATTGGAGTGTGGGCTTGTGCTAAACTCCCTGAGGTAAGCTCCTTGTTCTAGTTGCATCCTCTCTCTTGTGGCCCCACAACGATGGTGGGCATTATGGTTGTATTGTATGAAAGTATGTGGTATAATGTATATGTGCATTCATTCACATTCATATAGATGTTATATGATTCTTGATGTTATGATGATGCACTGATGATATATGTTATCAAAATCTTAGCCAGTGATCATGGTTTGTAAGCTGCCTATGACTTGACTCTGGGAGCTATTTCATACTGAGGTTGTGTTGACTGTCTATGGCTTGACCCTGGAGTCACATATGTGTAACCGTCTATGGCTTTGGCCTTGGGGTTACGCAAGGATGATATGCTAATGCTATGTTTATGTTGTATGCCTGTATTATATGCTTTATATCTGGCTTGTCATGTAGGAAGTGGGCTCAGGGGATTAGAGGATCCTCTATGAACCTTGAGCTTATTGAGATGTTATTATCTAGGGATGTTCGCGGTCTGGATTGGATCGGTTTTGGAAGAAAAATCATCTGATCCAATTCATTATGTTTGATCATGTAATCATCCATTCAGTTTGGATTTTTTTTCAAATCTGATCCGATCCAATCCAATTTTTTCTGTTTGGATTGGATCGATTTTTGGTTTTTTGAAAATCCTAAAATTTGTTTCATGATTATTGTGCAAATAACATCTTTTGTATATATTGACTTTGTAATATTTTTTTGAAATACAAAAGCGTTTTGGAAACGATAATATATATATATATATATATATTATAATGAGATATGAAGCTCTACATAGATGAAATTTTGTTGATGAGATGTGATTAAATTTTTTCTTGGGTTTAGAATTTTTTGGACTACGATTGGGGAAATACCCAAGTAGGTAAAGGGAAATTAATATGTTGGATCAGTTTGGATTGGATCGGTTTTCATCTACCAATCTGAAATCCGATCCAATCCAATTAAAATTTGTAGTTTTTTTTTTTCCAGTTTTTAGTTTTTCGATTTTTGGTTTATTCGGTTATCGGTTTTTCGGTTCGGTCACCGCGGTTTGAATCGGTTTGGATTGGTTGATGAACACCCTATTGTTATCTCACCCCGTTTGGGGACATCATTTCAGGTACTCAGAGTAGTGGTGATGCTTCTAGGGACAAGGCCCCCATATTGGAGTAGTTGATGATGCAGCTAATTATTTTATATTTTTAGACTTTATGATGGCATGTAGATCTGTTAACATGCCTAATTATCCTATGTGGAGATTTATGTCATGTATTTATTTATGCTCATGATGGTATACTGAGAGACATGGATGATTTACTGATGTTTTTTATATTTTAGAATTAATATAGACTTGATGTAAGCATTCAGTTAATTTGGGCATGGAGCCTTATTATTAGTATTGACCCGAGAGGGGATCGCAGTCCGTGTGGGATTTGCGAGCTGAATGTTTAAATTATTATATTTATCAGGTCAACTGTATGTGTGGGACCCATGTTCCCAGTATCTGAAATACAACCGTTATGCTGTCCGTGAGACTCCGTCAGGAATGACACTTGATGTTATATCCGGATGGTCAATGGCCACTAATACTGGCTAATGGATTAATGAGTAGATGTATGTTTTAGATTTACGCTTTCGTAGTATTTCACGTGAACGTTTTTAGAAATGTCTTCATAAAGTGTTTTGGAAAAAGTTTATTCGTATTTTTACAAAGCGTTTTATTAATCGTAAATAAAATATTATGTTGTGTACGTTATAATATCGTGATGTTAACAACCGGAGTACTGTGGGGTGTTACATTCAAGGGAATTGTATGACAATAGAGATGTTGGTGCATAAATCCTGATTTGATAAATTCATCATAATCCTTGTGATATAGGGATAGACATAGGGTAATTATGCATTATTTAGATTCTTTTTGTTAATATATGTCTTCTTGGGGAACAACCGAGGTCCTATGATTCGTTCAAGATTACATAAAATTAAGGTAACAAGGGATTAATTTTAATTACTTTAGAGGAATCGATTGACATTATATTAAAGGAAATTATTTGATTGTTTAATTCATAATATAAGAAGGATATTGGGGGGAATCGAAACCTTAACTACGCTCTTTCTTGATTTTCAAAACCAAATTCTTTTTCTTTGCTTGCTTTAAATTCTAGAATTGCATGTTCTTACATGTTCTTGATTTTCTTTCTTTCTATCTCAAATTCGATTGTCCAACTAAATTTTTTTTAGCGAACTAGTGCTTGAAAATCAATTCTCGTGAGAACGATCTCGTACTAAGTACACTTTTATTACTTTTACGACCGTATCAAATTGAATTCGTTCATGGATGTTTCCTTGAAAGGGGTATTCAGTTACATTGTTTTTCTTATTTGTTCCCTTCTCTCTTTGATTCCGTTGTTAATCCTTTAAATTACGTGTTATATGATATGTTTTAATTCTGTTTTTGAGTTGGGAAAATGTTGATGTTCTGTAAATTTCATTTTGGTTGAAGTTCTTTGAAAAGTTTTTTTTCCATTGTTTATTATGAAAGAAGTAACACACAATTCACCTCCCCTCTTGTGAGATTATTTAGCCATCTTTTCTTTTCAAGGGTTTGAGACCCATTGAGTTAGAAAGGTACCCAAATACCTAAGTAAATTTGGAGTGAAGATTATAAAGCATCTAAAAGCTCGAAGACTTGGAAAGTTGTAGCGGTTTGTCAAGCACCCGTGAAGTTTGACGGATAGTGAAACATTTAATTGAGCAACTTCAGTCTAGACATATGTCACAAATGATTGTGACCAAACCAGAATATATAGTGTTTGTAATTCTCTAAACTCTTTATTTTTAGAATTTTAATTGCTTTTTTGTTATTATCCATATGGTAGTATAAATTATATTATTGTGATAGATTGTGTATTATTGATGGCTTGAATATATTTCTAAGCTTATCATATGTCAAGGTTTCTATATAATGTTAATTTAGAAACAAAAAGGGGATTTTACAAAAATCTTGCAATACTCAATTCACCATCCTCTTGAGTATAGAAGCCACATTCCTAACAAAAATTATTTCCTACATATTCATAAAAATATATGGAATCATGTGACGAGAAGGGAGAGAACCAAAAAACCCAAGGCCTACGCACTTTTATGTGTGTATACAATAATTTTATCTCTAACAACATAAAAAACTTTAAACCCTAAAAATATGTAAGGAAAAGTTCAAAAATCTCCTATAGTTTGCTTTGAATCACTTTTACCTTTATACTTTTTTTAATCATTTATCCGCCAATGATTTTTTTTATCCAAACACATTCTTAACATCGTTATAAACTAAATTAATCTGCCTATTTTACTCTTCTAAGAAGAAGAGAATAGACTAAGAACAAAAAAATAAAATAAAAGAATATGCAAAAATAAATATGTTGGAAACTTAAAACCCTTATAAAAAAGATTAAAATTAAAAAAAATTAAAATATAAGAAAAATATCAAATATGTCTAAATATAAAAGATAAAAAAAGCCTAAAGATCAAAAAAAGAAGAAAAAATAAGATCAAATATGTCAAAAACTTTTAACTATAACAGAAAAGACTAAAATAAAATAAAAATAAAAAATTTGAAATCAAAAAGAAGAAAATAGATTGAAGACAAAAAAGAAATAAAAAAATAGGGTCAAAGATGTCTAAATAATAAAGAAAATAATGGAGTGAGGACAAAAAAATATACGAAAAATAAGACCAAATATGTTGAAAATTTACAACATTGATAGAAAATACTAAGATCAAAAAAATTAAAATAGTTTAAACCAAAAAGAAGAAAAAAGAGTGAAGACAAAAAAACATAAAAAAAAAGAAATACAGAAAAAGAAATCATCGTTGTAAGTTTTTAACATATTTGATTTAATTTTTTTTCTTTTTGGTTATGTTTGGTGTGTTTTTACTTTTACTTTCCCTTTTATTTTTTTCACTTTTAGTCTTTTTATCACTGTTAAATGAAATTGAAGAAAAAATAACATAAAAAATAGATAAAAGAAAAATAGACCTGTGTTGTAAATTTTCGATATATTTGGTCTTATTTTTCTCCAATATTTTTTTGTTTTCAATCTATTTTGTTCTTTTTTATTTAGACAAATCATCTTATTTTTCTCCATTTTTTTTTTGTCTTCGGTCTACTTTTTATTTAGAATATTTTTATTTTTAGTTTTAGTCTTTTATGTTACTCTGGTAAGTTTTCAACATATTTGATTTTTTTTTCTTTTTGTCTTTCAGTCTTTTTTCTTTTTTGTCTAGACATATTGATATTTTTTTATTTTGTAGTTTTTCTATAAATATTGTAAGTTTTTAACATATTTGATCTTTTTTATTTTTATTTTTTCCTCAATCTATTTTCTTTTTTTAAGAAGGGTAAAATAGATAAATTAGTTTAACTTTTAACTATGTTAAGGATAAAAAAATTATAGAAAATAAATAATTAAAAAATATATAAAAGTGTAAAGGATTTAAAATAAAACAATTGGGAATTTTTGAATTTTTTCCAAAATTTATATGCTTTCCCATGCTTTTAAAGTTTAATTTTTTTATCCAATATGATGTGAATTGGAAAAATATTTTTATTATTACGAATATACCGACCACTTAGTATATCTGTACACTTTTTTTTACCAAATATAAGAAAAAACAAATATATTTACACTATTTTTATTTTATGATTATTTTTTTTCATATTATTATTTTTTCTTTTTTTGGTAAAGAAGTATCAAAAATCCACTCCCAGATTGGACACGAGCCACACAAAACAAATGACACAACGACATAGAATTGAGCAAGGAACGCAATAGATCCCCCTGTGACTTGAAAGGGAAACCCATCTAATCCCAAAATCCAATGATCCTATCTTCGTCATCAACTCATTGGTGGGAAGGATGTGTCTATCTATCACCATTTGCCAACCCCACTCTTTCCTCTTTTTGTTTTCCCCATTAGTTTCTTGTACTTTTTCACTATCCTTTGTTTATTAGTTTCTTACACACCCAACCATGGCGAAGAAGGCAATTATGACTACTACCACATTCACTCTTACAAACACTACGACTTTCGTGACAAGCGCCTAAGTACAACAAACCTTTAGATCCAACCACCCATTTTATATAAGTAACTAATAGTCTAATAGCACCGCACATCCAAACAATCACCAAAATCCTCAAAGAAAAAGAAAAAAAACACAGACACAGACACAGACACAGACACACAATATGAGTTCTGTGAATCTGAACATATGGGCACGACCCAATTTTATGTTCAATCAAGCCATCAGATTCAGATCCCCAACTTTTCTACCCATTTCTTCCATTACCACCGCAAAACCACAAAGGCATCAACTTTACTCTTTTTCTTCTCTCTCAGTCTCGGCTGTGCTCACTAAGGAAGAAACCCTGGAAACGGAAGAGAAAGAGAAACCCAGTTTCAATTTCAAGTCCTACATGGTTCAGAAAGCGAGCAGAGTGAACCAGGCCTTAGACGACGCCGTTTCGCTACGAGAACCGCAGAAGATCCACGAGGCCATGCGGTACTCGCTCCTCGCCGGCGGCAAGCGCGTGCGCCCTGTGCTCTGCGTCGCCGCCTGCGAACTAGTCGGCGGAACAGAATCCATGGCGATGCCGGCGGCCTGCGCCGTCGAGATGATCCACACCATGTCGCTTATCCACGACGACCTTCCCTGCATGGACAACGACGATCTCCGGCGAGGGAAGCCGACAAATCACAAGGTCTTCGGCGAGGATGTGGCGGTCCTCGCCGGCGATGCCTTGCTCGCCTTCGCATTCGAGCACATCGCTGTCTCCACTGCCGGCGTGCCATCTGCTAGGATTGTCCGGGCAATCGGAGAACTGGCTCAGTCCATTGGCTCCGAAGGCCTCGTCGCCGGACAAGTGGTGGACATCAGTTCCGAAGGGTTATCCGATGTGGGGTTGGAGAGGCTCGAGTTCATTCACCTTCATAAAACGGCGGCGTTGCTGGAAGGTGCGGTTGTTCTTGGTGCGATTCTAGGTGGTGGTTCCGATGAAGAGGTTGAGAAGTTGAGGAATTTTGCAAGGTGCATAGGGTTGCTATTTCAGGTGGTGGATGATATTCTTGATGTTACTAAGTCATCACAAGAATTGGGTAAGACCGCAGGGAAGGACTTGGTGGCTGATAAGGTTACTTACCCTAAGCTCTTGGGGATAGAGAAATCTAAGGAATTTGCTGAAAAATTGAACAAGGATGCACAAGAACAGCTTTCTGGGTTTGACCCTCATAAAGCTGCTCCTTTGATTGCTTTAGCCAATTACATTGCTTACAGGCAAAACTAGACTCTGTTGTATAATAATTGTTGTTTAGGCAATTTAGTTTTATTGCAACTAGGAGTGTATCATACAATCTTTCCTTTTCTATGTGCCTTTGCCTTCAATTTTGTATGATGCATAATACCTTGAATTTGTAATTAAATGTTATATCTTTAACGAGTAAGTTTACCTGTTTTTCCATTTTACAATTTGCTTTTAGAATTCTTGACAGGACATATTCTGTCTTAACTCTGAAGTGAGCATCCTGAATTACTGAATCATTGTCTCACAAACTGTGCTGGTGAGTTTTACTAAATCATCTTGATGTTTCTGTGCTGGCGGTTTTAACTTTTCCGGCATTGAATTGACAAGGTTATATACGGGTATGTTTGATTTCTGTTTTGTAGAACAGTTTTTTTAGTTTTAGGAACAAAAAAACAAAAAAACTCGTTTGGTAAGACCTGTTTTGTAAAAAATGTTTTGAAAACTATAACTGTTTTTTTTGTTTTTAAAATCAAATTTAGAGAACATGTCTGTTATTTTTGTTTTCTGTTTTGATTTTTAACTTTCAAAAAAACCAAAACACAATCAAAGAGCCCTACGTTTTTCTGTTTTCTTTAGATCCTGCAATTCAGTTTGAGTTTGCAAATTGTGTGCTGAGGTGGATACGTTGTTTGGGATAATCGAACACCTTTATGTAAGCACGAGATGCTTTTTATTTAATTCTATCTGCGTATATTCGAACATGGTTCCTTCTGCTGTTTGATTTTCAGTAGAGAAGGAAAAGTTAGCCTTATTATTGGAGGCTGCTGGAGATATTGGATTGATACAAACCTTCAGGCATTTTCTTTGAAGATGCCTTCACTGACTTTATTTTCAGTGTCAATCTTGTATCATTAAGGGACACCCTTCAGTCCTGTCTTTCGACTCCTTATTTTATTAGATTCTTTCAACCAAAGTGATAGCTTGTTATTTGTTATCCTGAAGACAAGTTTGTTCTTCATACCTATATGTTTTAATATAACATCCGCATCTGATACTCCAGAGGTGGACAAGACTTAGTAGAAAAATATTAATGTTGGCGTGAAAACAGAAAGACTGTTTGAGTTGTTGCAAGCTTCGAGCTAAGAATATCTGACTTTGAAATGGTTCTTTCAGTTGATCTTGTTGTGAAGTATTGTTAGGTAAAAAGGTTGAGATCTTTCAAAACAGGAATTGATTCCTGAGTCCTGGCCCAATCTGACTCCGTAGTAGTAGTGGGAACCTCATGCACTTGGCTGCCATTTATCCTCTAGCTTCTTAACCTTGGTAAGTGGCACTTGGAGGATGGGCCAACCATAAAGCACTTTGTTGCCATATTATGATACTGGGGTCATATATTTTGCAGTGCAGACGCTCAGATTAAATTCTGTCTTCTATCTTGAATGTTAATGGTACAGTAAATTCACTTAACTGAATGTTATACTAATGTTAGTCTCTATTTCTGCATTCACACAGTAGCTTCTTTGTCATTAATTCAGTGTTTCTTTCTGCATTCAAACAGTACCTTCTAGCTTTTTTGGGTTCTTTCTCTTCTTTTTTTTGTTTGGACGTGGGAATGATCATTGCATCAAGACAAAGTATAAGCTTGTGTGTCTTGAGTCTTCCCTTCTTATTCTAGGACACTAGTTGGGAAAACTGGAAACAGTGACGAGCAACACAAGCTAACCAGGTGAACCTATCGCAGCCAGCATGCAAGAGCTCGGCTTTTTTACCCTTATCGATTAAAAAAATATATATCACCGGTTTGGTTCTATCTAATGCAAGTAAAATTCCATGGAATTGCATTTAGGGCCCGTTTGGTAAGAGGTTTTTTTTTTGTTTTTCCAGGATTCCTTGGTTGGGTAAATAAGAATGCATCGTTTGGTACAGGTTTTTCAAAAAAATTTCGGGAATCTGATTTTTCCGGGATTTTATTTTGTGTGTAAACTTTTTTGAAAAAATCATCTGGGAATACTATTCAAAAGATGGTATTCTAGGATTTCTATGGCAAGGAAAAATTTAATACAACTAAACATAGTATCAAGAAAATTAATCCAATATTTATGGAAATATGTTAGTCTACCAAACAATTTTTTGATAACATTTTCAGAAAACTCATTTTCTCATCATATTCCTGAAAATCGTGATTCTCAGGTAAAAAAAAATCTCTCCTCTATCAAACGTCCCCTTAAGTCATGTATCATCTTGTATGCAATTAGTGTAAAACCCAAAAAACACCTTACCTGACGATTAGAACGCATAGGATGTGCATTTTGCATTACGTTGATTTTTACACAAGTTGCGGATGAAATTATGCGCGATTTAAATGCATATATTTTTCATGCGTATTACACTCGTATTAGATGGATAAATAATTTGTCGAAAATAAAAAATGTGATATTTTTATTTTTTATTTTTCATGCGGTAAAAAAAAAAGCCGCAAGAGCTCAGAATTCTCTTTATAATCTGCTTCAGAATCCAAAGCAAATTGAATTCCCACTCTCTTACCAAAATCTTCAGCCATGTAGACCTTTACCTTCTCATGCAATAGGTGTGTAACAGCAGCTAAGATAATTCCCGAGTCATCTATATTAAGCTTAAACGCATCTCGAGGAGGGGGGACGCAAGCGGTGCCACTAGCCCGTATTGCATTTACCATCTTCTCTAGCACTTGATAAACGCATTAGTAACACCGCGGATCACAAAATAATTAATGAAAAAGTCAAATTTTATTTGCTATAATTAACTAAAAAATGAAGAGAAAAAACAAATTAGAAGCTTGATAAACGCATTGGTAACGCCGTGCTCATGCACTTGGCAGATAGATCACAAAATAATCAATGAAAAAGTCAAATTTGTTGGCTATAATTAACTAAAAAATGAAATCACACCATTCAGGTTGAATATTTTATTTCATAAGTTTACATGATAAAATTAATTAAAATAAACTAAAAAGTCATCATATTTGGGCAGCAAAAAAAGTCAAAAAAAAAGCGTGTTGTTCCAATCCTGCTCAAATGCCTCCACATTTGCCCAATTAGCTGTATCCCATTTTTTTTCCCCAACCAAAAAAACCAATGAATATTATATAATTATAATTATTTTTTTATATTTTTTTCCTCTATCATAATAATAACTTCTCTCCATTCTGTCCTAAGACACCTGTCCACCAATCTATTTTTCTTTGTGTCGAGTTCTTAATAACAAACTTTTGTTCTTACCGGAGCATCTAGGGGGCCTTCTCATCACGTGTCCAAATCACCTTAATCTATATCCTCTCATCTTTTCAGCCACCGGTAGTATTCCTATCTTACGTCGAAATCTTATTTTTTATCTTATCTATCCTCGTATAACTGCGCATCCACCTTAACATCCTTATTCTGTTATTCCCATTTTATGTTCATGTTGTCTATATGTTGATCAACATTCAACTCCATATAATATTACAGGTCTTACTGCTATTTTATAGAATTTTCTTTTTAGCTTAGAAATTTTGCGGTCACATAAAAATCCAGAAGCACTATGCCATTTCATCCACCCTACTTTGATTCTATGATTTAAATCCTCATCAATCTCTTAGTTTTTTTGCAAAATAGATCCTAGGTATCTAAAAACATCTTTCTTGGGTACCTCTTTGTTGGATATATGCTCTTTTGGTCACTAAAGTCCTATTGGGCTTCAGTGAAACTTGAGCCCATGAGGCTTAGGGTTGAGTTATGTCTAAGACCTAAGCGTATATATTCATGGTTTTCTCCTCTTGTGCCTCCAAGGTGAACAGATCATCAGAAACAAACCCCAAGAGGCAGACCTTCATCATCTGAACGGTTGCCCACACAACCATCTCATCCTCCTCGAGAGATAGTCTGGAAGATCTGCCACAGTCCAGCTTCAAGGAGGTTGTTCGTGTTGCGGCGCTGAGGTGAGCTGTTCGTGAAGAGGAATCCTACAAGGGAAGATTCTACACGACACCTGCGCACCGAGAGGTAATTGTGAAACAAGGATGATTCGGTAAGCATACCAATGTACTAGGTCCTAAACCGCTTCCGCATAAATCTAAGATTTCCTTCAATTGGTATCAGAGCCTTGGCTGTACATTGGTATGTGAATCTAGTTTCACTATTCATGTAATTAGTTTTGCTTCTTGAAATGTGGCACCTAGGGTTCTAGGATTATGGTATGAATCTAGCATGTGTATTTTATAATTCATTTTCATAAAAGTTTAAATTTTAATCGGTAAAAATGCTTTAATCCATGGTTAGGATCTCTCGTGTATTTCTCGATTTGTAACAAGGAGACTAATCCCATATGATTAGGTTTCCTCCTTGCTGTTTTTGTTTATTTTTGGAATTTCTGTGTATTTTTCCAATATTTTGTAAAAGTTCAAGATCGAGAAACCGCGAGTAAGATGCGCAGTCAGTACTGTCGGAGACTTTTCGAGGTCTTCCCGATCTCGTAATGAGGCGATCTATATATGGTTGGAAAGAGGACGGAAAGACGAACGCAACGGTGGGTGGCTTACCGCCATCTGAGTTTACACGCGACTCCACGCGCCTCCACAAGATTCTGAGAGTGGCCGCCACTCTCCGGCAAAGAATGGGAGAGTGAGAGAGCGTCCGGCCACCTTTTTGGGTGGTTCCGGCGGCGGTGCACTCGTCTCTACGTGGCGGTCCTTCCCCTGGAGTTTCAGCCTGATTTGACTTCGGGTGACGGCGCGGCAGACCTGACGGCTAGGGTTCCTCTTTCGCGTCCTAGGGTTTCTCGCCAAAGGATTGGGTCTTTGGGCTTTTGGGCCCATGAAACCCTAAAGGGGCTTGAGACAGATACTATGAGCTAGGCGAAAGTTGAATTCCAAAGTTGTATTATTTAATTTTATTTTATTTTATTTTCTTTAAAATAGGAAGGCCATGGATTAAAGTAATTATGATTTATTATTTAATGCTTTTATTGATTGGTATAAATTATATGATAGATAACATGCTTTATTGCGATAACATGCCATATAGAATAGGTGGTGCCATATTGTTGCATAACTTGTATGATTGCATGAGCATAATAGCTATTATGTCTTCAGCGACTAGTATGATAGTTATTATAGGATTATTTTGATTTTAAATCATCCTAAGAAATTAATTAATAATTATTATGATTTTTATTAAAAATCTAGATTAATAATTGAATTAATTAATTTT